AAATTCCCAAATTCCCAAATTTCCAAATTCCCAAATTCCCAAATTCCAAATATCCCCAAATTCCAAATATCCCCAAATCCCAAAGATTAAAAATTCCAAATATCCCCAAATCCCAAAGATTAAAAATTCCAAAATCCCTAAGTTCTGATATTCGAAAATTTCAAAATCGCATAATTTGCAAATCCCCAAAATTCAGAGAACTGTCGAAAAAACAGAGAACAGAGATCAATCGACTATTCATTCATAGTTATTGTACTGTATAGTCTCACCTGATACTTGGAGTAATCGTCTCCATTTGATAACGCCATTTAACTCTTTTACGCATGTTAACCTGTTTATCTACTTAAAAAGAAAATTTCATTTACCTCATTAGATCTACTAGAAGATCTGTTTTGTAAATATCACGCAACGCGACAGTAAATATTTCTGTTTCTTTAAAGCATTTCTGGGAATTCTATATTTAGAACATTATTCTGAAACACTCTCAAAAATATTATCTCTGCGTATAATTTGTTTGATAATTTAATGTTGGATGATTTAATTGATCAAATTCAACTTTTTTTTCTTGTTAACCAATCTTTTTAAATTCTGTATAGATAATTTCAGAGGGGAATAACCATAAATCTCATAACCGTAGTTATCAAATATTTATTTTATAAATACATATTTTATCGTGGATTAAACAAAAATTTGCCACACTTTCTTCAATAATTTTTTACCTTATTAATTGATTTTTCGATGCTGTTGTCTTTAACGATATCTTAACAGTATCATTCCAACTACCATTCAAAAATTAGAAATTTGAAAACTTCTACATTTATCAGTTTGAAAATAGATTTGAAGTGTTCGAAATATTGCAATTACCTCCTTAAACACGAGATTGAAACAAGTATTTAACGTTAATTAGAATAATCGTTAATAAGAAACTAACCGAGAAGTGTTTCTAACGTTTATTAAATAAGCAGACATTTATCGAGCGGTTACTATTATATACGTAGTATCGATAAATGACAGTAGTACTAATTCTTATTAATTACTTCGCATGTAGTGTTTGTATAGCGCATAACACACATCGTAAAAGACTCATGAATCGCAGTTTCTGAATAGATACAGTAAGCGAAATTTATAACGAGATTCGTTAGATGAACTCAATGACCTGTTCCTCCAGCATTAGATACGCTCAAATACTACAGACCAACCTTCAATGACTGACTTTTCTATCTTTTCATTGATACAAGAAACACAATTGGGGTGCAGCAAAAAGTACAACATGAGTATTAGTAAGAATTTGTTGGGCATTCTCTGATTGCGTTATCAGAAGTGCAGTGAATAGTTCTTCTGCACTTCTAAGCTCCTGTTACATTTATTGTTACATATATATTTCTCTTCTTGTCTTGTACCGCTTGTATTTGAATGATACTGGATTCATTAATCATCTTTCTTTTACATTTAAAATTTTTATTAAGTTTGTGACAAGTTTAATAATTATTAGATAATTAGAAGATTCGTCTATCGTGCTCCAGTAGCGTTTTTAAGTATATTTTTCAATAATATTTTTATAGAATAATTATTTAAAGTTATTCTTTATTTTGCAGGTGAAAGTCGGAAACAATACAAAGGATGTTGAGGAAAATTTTATCTGCCAATGATGGTACACCGAATCAAAAAAGGATGACCCTCGTATGAAAATGAATTAATATGGTGTATCAATTTGACGCACGAAATCATCGATGGATCATTATATTGATGAATTGGACGGTTCATCGACAAAAAATTATCATGATTATGCACGAAACAATGATAATTTATTTAATGTTCAAAAATGCTTACAACTTTTTGTATGATATTTTTTACTATTTATATTATTTATTAAATTTATACTTTGCCTTAGACTATTAACTGGTTAAATTAATTCCTTACACTTTTATGAAATAACTATCGTTACTTACACTAACTATACACTGATTTGAGTTTCAAAAGTAATTGAGCGAACGAGCCAAAGGCGAGCGAAGCTCTTATTCTTGACTTTTCAACTTTTTTGTCCACGTTTTTTTCTTGCACTACTCAACCAATTCAACCGAATGACACGGTTGACTATTTTTGCTTTAGCGTAAAATTTACTCGCTCGCTCAACATCGTTAGGTGAGGCGCGGAGCGTCTCAATCAAACAGACCTAAGTAGTTTAATATTCATATTTATTATATCTTCTAATATACAATATTTAAGAATACAAAAGTCTGAAATTTTTACTCTTACAAAGTTAGGAATTTTGAAATTCGAAAACTTAAGAATTTAAGAATTTAGAAAGTTAGAAATTCGAAAATATGTGTACTGTTAAATATTTTAAATTCTACAACTGAAATATCTGACAGGAAATAAACTGATCGAAATCAACTTATGACTTGAATCGCTGCTACCATCTGACGACCATTTCCTGAAACATATGCACATTTAATCAGTATATCTAACATTTCAAAAACTACTGTACACATGTATATTTAGCTTCTGATACAGACAAATTTTTACCGGTTGATTGCAATCGAATGTGTAAACAGTGCTGCGTCAATTCTAGCGATGTTAATCGCATGTAAAGTTTTCATCAATATAATGAGCACATGTAAATTATTACAGCGTCGATGCTACGATCTGCTTTCATACAAATATTCATTGTTGGTGATATTAATAGCGTTTACCTGTATATTTATCGGCATCATTCATTTCGGTGAGGTTAGGAATTCTATTTTTCTCTATTGTTTTGATATCTAATCTTATTTGTTTTATTGTTAAGATATTGTTTATTATTGAAACATTGTATTTTATATATCTGACATAAATGGTTAAAAAACTGATAACCTTAAGTGTCTGATTAATATAAAAATTGTTATATTCTAACTGAAAGCACTCTTTCAGATATGGATAGCTTGGAGTAAAGGAAAATACGAAGCTATATTTCATTCTTTTAATGATAATATATTAGGTATTTCTTTTCAACAAAAATTATGTCAACATGTCCCTATAGATGTTGTATATACATGGGTAAATGGCTCAGATCCTGTTTTTTTAAAGAATCTGAAGAAACATGTTCCTATTATGGATGTTAATACTGCAGCTTCTAGATTTAATGATAAAGACGAATTAAGATATTCCTTACGTTCCTTAGAAATGTATGCACCATGGGTTAGACATGTATATATCGTTACCAATGGTCAGATACCTAGTTGGTTAGATATGGATAACCCTAGACTTACTCTTATTACTCACGAAGATATCTTTTTAAATAAAAGTGATCTTCCTACATTTTCTAGTCCTGCTATTGAAAGTCATATACATAGGTAATATAGCTTATTAACTTCTATTAGTTAATACAACTTTGAAATTAATTTGATGTTTGTATGTTTGCCTCTACAGAATTCCTGGAATCTCAGATAAATTTTTGTATTTTAACGATGATGTAATGTTAGGAGCTGAAGTGTGGCCAGAAGATTTTGTTACTCAAGTAGGTGGCCAAAAAGTGTACCTTGCATGGTGGGTTCCTGACTGCTCTGATGTTTGTCCTTGGGCCTGGGTAGGCGATGGATCATGTGATCCAGCTTGTAACACAACATTATGTGAATTTGATGGTAACAATTTAGATAAAAATATACATAGATAAGCATATGTAGAAAGAACAATCTAACTATGTTACATATCTGAACTAATATTTGCAATTTATTTATAGGAGGAGATTGTGATAGCACAACAGTTCCTACTGACAGTGAAGCACTTGAGGAAGAAGGAGATTATCCACATAAGTTTTTACAAGATGTTCAAGAAAATGCTAACTATGGGTTGAAACTTTTTAGCATATTAGGAAACAGAAGTATAAATTCTGTATGGAATAACACAGAAACATTTACCCAACAAACATTGGCAAGTGAAGCCAAGGAATTAAAGTTCAATGTAAATAAATCTTATAGTTTCAAAAATAATAACCATATAAACGATATTGAAGTGAATTTCAATGAACAATTCAATGAAAATAATCAAACTACATCCACTCAAAAATCAATACTGTCAAAAGTAATGAATAGAATTAAATTCCAAAGTTCTGGTAACATTGATAAACGTGTACACCTGAAACATTATTTAAACAATAATGATATGAGTTTAACACTAATGAATAGTACTGCAAAAACAAATAATAAACCTAATTATTCTGATCATTGGAAACATAGAAGACAGCTAGATACATATGCAGAATCTTTACTTTATGTAAATAGAATATATAACATAGCATATGGTTTTGAACGTAGAAAAGTACCCGCTCACATGCCTCATTTAATAGATAAATGGATCGCCACTGATATGCAGACAAAGTTTGAGCATGAATTTAAGAAAACGTCTAGTCATAAAGTTAGGAATTCCGAAGATATGCAGTTTGCTTTTTCGTATTTCTATTTCCTGACGAGTGAGAAACGAAAGATTCCAATTGGAGAGATTTTTGATAGATTTGACACAGATAAATCTGGGTATATCAAACTGTTTATTATTTAATAATTTTAACATATTAAACGTTTAATAATAATATTACTGTTTCTAGAACTTGGTCGGATAGAGAAATCAGAACACTTTTATCTAGACTGTATCCACTACCTCTTGATTATAGCCTAGTCGTAGAATTTGAAAATATAATAACAAATTGTTCAAATCACATAAATGTCGCGGAAATATCAAATCCACCGCCTGGAGAAAGATATTTAGATTCATCTCTCGTAAGTAAATATATGTTAAAAATATATCATTCTTAAATTTCCAACTATCTGTACTCTCTTCAGCCAATTGTATCAAAGGAGTTAATAGCAAGTTGTGAACCAATTTCGAGAAAAATTCTGGCCAAGTTTGGCGAAGGGAAGCTTTATCCGCATGAAATAATTAAAGCTGGCAAAAATGAAATATTTGAAATGTTGACCAGCAATGTATCTCTGACTGTACAACTCTTGGATGAAATACGAAGGGATCCAAAGTAAGTCATAATAAATTTTATATATAACAGATATATAAACTAAGCTGAATTCCAATTTTAGGAAATTTATATGTTTGAACGATGACATGGACCCTCTTCGACGCTCCGAGAATGAAATTGTTCGTGCATTGTTAAATGATTTTTATCGCTCGCTTTACCCACTGCGTAGCACCTTCGAATTACCTTTACAATATCGAAATCTATTTGCTCATCGACACGAACTTTTTGAATGGAGAGCTAATAGAACGAAAGCTAGAAATTTATTGTTGTGTCTTATCGTCTTGTTGCTTGTTACAACTCTTTATCATTTGTTTTATCATCAGATACGACGGTTATTCAGAGTGCGCACATTGCCCACTTTACTCGTTTAAATTCTAAGGACTAAATATGTATAAATACGCAAAATGAACTGACAAAAAATACACTTAGGTGCAACGTAGGCTTCTTTTGGATAAGAACAAATGTAAACAACGAGTGATGGAATTTTTTTTTTCTTAGTTTACAATTTTCCACAGGAAGCCTACTATACCTGGTGCTGTACATCTGTATCTTCCGTGACAGGGCAATGTCTTCTAAAAGATTTTATAAAGAATAACGGTATGTACATAAGAAAATTTATATAGAAATCGTGTTTGTAAAAATTTATAACATTATAAATCGTTCATCTTGTTTGTTACATATCTTACACGTATAAATCATGATTATTTTTCGTATATTATTTATTGGAAACGGTCATACTATGATAATGAATTGATACATTTTTATGAAATTTAATATAGTGAGATATGAACATTAGATTTTAATGTCATATTTTAAAATTAAGTAAAACGTTCCTGTGATATTAATGAAGTACTAATTACTTTTCGTTCTCTCGAATATGGAATATAGAGAAAATTTTTCTACACAAAGACTGTACACTAAGAAATATAAATTGACTTTAAATTATCTAGTATGTTGAGTGACTCATTTACATTAGTATCTAGGATAATATCATTATGCAAAAGCATTACAAAATATTAATTTATTTTACTAAAACATTATTCTAGTATGCGTTGCAATTTTGTTGTCAGACAACTTACAATCCTTGAAGACTTAAGATATACCAAATTTGTACTTATTGAAATGTTAAATACGAATCAATGTGAAATATACCGAATTTTTTTAATTCAACTTTTATTATGTATTTATTTTTAAGGTATTATGTAAATACTTTCCAAGCCCTTTGTATAATTTAATTAATACTATTAATGAAATTTAACAAACTACCACACTTAATAGATTCTTCTATTCAATAATAACAAGGTTCTTAATAAAACAAATAAAAATCTACAAGTAAATATGATAAACCAAATACATATTTGTTACGGTGAAGCAACAAATTATTTTATACGCATAAAATCTACTTATTGCAGTTTTATAGAGTAAGATTTTTATTGCTTTATTCAAAGTAGCATTATACCTTCAAGACTTATAAGGGAACATCCTAAACTTGTATTCACTGATTCTCATCAATATTTTTAGAAGTTCATCTTGCGATTCGTCATGATTCTGATATCGGTTGTCTATCCAGAGGTGGACAGTTCATATGACGAAGATTTCGCGGGCCAACCAAGCCCTCTTGCACTCTTGCGCATTCGCTCATCCATATCGCTACGCTCGCTACTTCTTCAGCCGAAAGACGTGGTCCTATACCTGACAGAATTTCATATTCTCAATTACAAAAAATATTTTACTCTAATTAATTTGTGGTACTTTATATTTAAATAATCGTGTAATTCAATGTTCAATATTTACAATCTTGTATTATCTCACCAGGGATGTTTGGATAATATTTGATCAACTTCGGGTCTACCATTTTCTTCTTTCGTCTTCTTTCGTTACTAGACTTGTCCTCTGTACTTCGAACACTTTGGTTTTTCGTTGTATGCTCCTCCGTGGTACTACAGCTAGTTGTACTTTTCGCTGACCCGTTTTCATTCTTGTTCGATTTCTTCTCCTCGGATGATTCGGACTTTTTACTGGACTCTGCTTCCGTGGCGGAACTTTCATTGCTCTTTTTCGTCTTTACAGCTTCTTTGTCAGGAACGTCTCCTCCTGACGATTTATTTTCGTCGTCTTTGTCGCCCGTGTAACTTTCTATGAAGTTCACATCAGCTTAAACAGAAGAAATATTTCGTTTATTAATTATAAGTATAATATAATTCGTAATCAAGAAATCCGTGATTCTTGAACTCTTGCAAGTTTAAATTTACTTCTCGAAGAATCCGCATCATCTCTGGACACCAATTCCAAATCCAAGTTCACATCAGCCTCAGTATCCTGACTGGTAACTGAACAAACGCGATCCAGAGATTTTTCTTCGGAACATCTCGATTGACGACTTGCCGACGATACGCTGTCGCATATAATAAATTCAGTTGGATCTTCGTCGGAAGAATCTCTTTCGCTGCCATCGCAACGAAGTCCTGCCAAGTACCTAAAAATCAAAGTTACAAAATATACTATTAACCGTAATACTTCGTTTATTTATTTGAATTGTACACTTTATGATTACAGTGCCTTTAGATTAAAATTTCAATCAGAATATTGAGTCACTGTGTTACTATAAGGTTTATTTTAAGCCTACCCATAGATTTCCATAAATAATGTGACGGGAACCATGGCGGACCCGCCTTCAGGTTCGTGAGTGAATAATTCACAGATCATAATCATCGTTTCAAAGAGACTAGAGCCTAAAAGACCAACTGCGATTGCCAGGAATTTCTTCACTTGACATTTCCGGCGAAATTTTCCGATCATCATAATTAAGTTCAAATCCCTTCGGTCCAAGCATAAACAGTCCCATCGACGCAGAATTGTTTCCACAGGTAACGATTTATTGTAATCTACAAAATAATTTTTGTACTAAATGATACGTGTGGTAGTATAATGCTTAGCAATAACTCGCAATGATATAACGTAGTGCTATATAACGCGAAGTAATATAATACTATGGCGAGTGGCAATATAATGAGTAGCGATATAACGCATAAGTGACCTACCCTATAGCGATATAACTCACGAGTGAGTAATAAGTAAATTATTAAAAAAGTGAATTATTAAACAAAAATCGACAAGAATTTGTTCAAAAGCAAAATTAAGATTTTTATATGTAATACAAATACCTCCAAATTGATGGAGTAAAACTCTCAAAAAGCCAAAAGTTAAACCGGAAGCTGTACTCGGCGGTGGATATTCTAATCTTAATTTGACCGGCGGCTCTTCTCCATCAGCCAACGCACGAAAATACGAACTGGACCATTTCAATAGATCATACGGTTGCGTTCGAATAGCCGCCTTGCAAAATTGCTTTAGAATTACCGGTAAGCTCGGTGGTATCACGATTTCTTGATCTACAACCGACTGTTCAACAATAGACATTTTTACTGGAAAACTAATTGAACGTTCTTTTTCGATCGAAATCTATTTTGCGAAATACTACGCTGTACAAGGTGGAACCGCAAGTAACTTGAGTACAGTAGTGCGCCACTGCAAGTGTGGTATTTGTTGTCACTTCGCGCGAAACCGTTGTCTAGGAAACGGTATTGACGGAAAGAGATCAATTTCTGGTAAGAATTACATTTTATATCATTATTAAATTAAACTCTATTGTGTTTCTAATCGTTGATCCACATAAGTATATAACTGATTTAATTTTCTATTTTATTACTATTTTAACTTCAAGAGATGGATTTGTTGTTAAATTTTAATGAACGTTTTCTTCCATGCTTGTATCTAAATTTATTATCCGATAAGAATTTATATTATCGACGAAACAATGTGCGTGGTTAGCATCCATTACAATATGTATATTTGAATATTTTCCCAATTACCGCGGCACAGCAGGTACCTATTTATAAATGGGAGTAACATTTTTAGAACATAGATCTAAAAACATGTAGCCGGAAACCCAGTCAGAAGAAATTAAAAAATTTGAAAGTTGGTAAATTTAAAATTTTTAATTAATCTCTACAGTGTAAAAAAATATTCACGTGTTGGGTATTAACTTAAATAGTAATATCCTATTTCTCACAATAATTTTTCATAATTGGTAGTACAGAAGGTGCACAACAAATCAAATTTGAGTACCAAGTAGTAAGGCTTCCTTTCATGTAGATGTCGTTCTCAGTTGTAAAGCAAGCTTACGCTTGATCCCTATATCCCTAGGTTCATGTTTTGGAGGGATCGTGCAATTCAATATGGCGGCGATTGGTGTTGTGCGTTTGTGAGTGTCAGGACAGAGACCGGGTATAATACAAGATTAATTGTGTTTAAACGGAATACAAGTTCGTATAAACGTTAAATTAATTCAACCTCTATTTTCACTTATAAAGAATTACTTTGAAATTTAGAAAAATGTCGAAACCAGACGAAAATGTCGACACAGGAGACACAGGAGACAATTCGAACGGATCTTCTGCAGAGACCACATCGTCTCGTGGCGGAGACTTCGAAACAAAACTCGAGACTGATCGAAGTAAACGATTTGATTATTTACTAAAACAGACTGAAATATTTTCTCATTTCATGACGAACAATCAGAAAGATAAAGCCGGAAGTCCTTTGAAAATCAAAGCTGGCAGGCCTAGGAAACAACCAGAGGCTCCAGTAAAAGCCGATTCCGGTGATCACAGACACCGTAAAACAGAACAAGAGGAAGACGAGGAATTGTTAGCAGAGAGCAATGCAAGTGTAGCGCCAACTACGCGTTTCGAATCGTCGCCGCACTACATTAAATCCGGTGAGTTACGAGATTATCAAATACGAGGTTTAAATTGGATGATATCCTTGTATGAGAATGGTATCAATGGTATCTTGGCGGATGAGATGGGTCTGGGAAAAACGCTTCAAACTATTTCACTGCTGGGATACATGAAACACTTCAGAAACATTCCTGGCCCACACATAGTCATTGTACCAAAATCTACTTTGGCAAATTGGATGAATGAGTTCAAAAAATGGTGTCCCACTCTGAGAGCAGTTTGCCTCATAGGAGATGCAGAAACCAGAAATACTTTCATTAGAGATGTTATGATGCCTGGTGAATGGGACGTTTGTGTGACGTCTTACGAAATGGTTATCAAGGAGAAATCAGTATTTAAAAAATTCAATTGGCGATATATGGTAATCGATGAAGCTCATAGGATAAAAAATGAAAAATCAAAATTATCAGAGATATTAAGAGAATTTAAAACAGCTAATCGCCTTTTGTTAACTGGAACACCTTTACAGAATAATCTCCATGAACTGTGGTCTTTGCTCAATTTTCTATTACCTGATGTGTTTAATAGTTCAGATGATTTTGACTCATGGTTCAATACCAACAGTTTCTTGGGTGACAACTCGTTAGTTGAAAGACTACACGCAGTTCTTCGGCCGTTCCTCCTGAGACGCTTGAAGTCCGAAGTAGAAAAAGGACTCAAGCCAAAGAAAGAAATTAAAGTATACATTGGTCTCAGCAAAATGCAAAGGGAGTGGTATACCAAGGTACTCATGAAGGACATAGACATAGTTAACGGTGCTGGAAAGATCGAAAAGATGCGACTACAAAACATTTTGATGCAGTTACGCAAATGCTGCAACCATCCATATTTGTTTGATGGTGCAGAACCTGGACCTCCTTATACTACTGATGAACATCTTGTTTACAACTGCGGTAAAATGGTGATATTAGATAAATTATTGCCAAAATTACAGCAACAAGAATCACGAGTTCTTATATTTAGTCAAATGACAAGAATGTTAGACATTTTGGAAGATTATTGTCACTGGAGGGGTTTCCAGTATTGCCGTCTAGACGGAAACACGGCGCACGAAGACAGACAGCGTCAGATCAACGAATACAACGCACCAGAAAGCGAGAAGTTTATCTTCATGCTGTCGACTCGCGCGGGTGGTTTAGGTATTAACTTGGCAACAGCCGACGTAGTTATTATTTATGATTCTGATTGGAATCCGCAGATGGACTTGCAGGCAATGGACCGGGCCCATCGTATAGGACAACAAAAGCAAGTACGAGTGTTCAGGTTTATTACAGAAAACACAGTGGAAGAAAAGATTGTAGAACGCGCGGAAGTTAAGTTACGTTTGGACAAATTAGTTATACAGCAAGGACGATTGGTCGACGCGAAGCAGACTGCGCTAAATAAGGATGAAATGTTGAACATGATCAGGCACGGAGCTAACGAGGTGTTCGCGTCGAAGGACAGTGCTATCACTGATGAAGATATAGACACTATTTTACAGAAAGGTGAGGCAAAAACGGAGGAGATGAAGCAGAAATTAGAAAGTTTGGGTGAGTCATCTTTACGTAACTTCACGGTTGACGCACCTACGGATTCCGTGTATCAGTTCGAGGGCGAGGACTATCGTGAAAAGCAAAAGATTCTGGGACTCGGCAACTGGATCGAACCGCCTAAACGAGAGCGCAAGGCCAACTACGCGGTCGATGCTTACTTCCGAGAAGCTCTCAGGGTGTCGGAACCAAAAGCTCCAAAAGCACCCAGGCCTCCGAAGCAACCGATTGTCCAGGACTTTCAGTTTTTCCCGCCACGATTGTTCGAGTTGCTTGATCAAGAGATCTACTACTTCCGGCAAACCGTGGGATACAAAGTTCCTAAGAATCCTGAGCTTGGATCGGACGCGGCCAGAATTCAGAAAGAAGAGCAACGTAAGATAGACGAGGCTCAACCGTTAACCGATGAAGAGGTCGCAGAGAAGGAGAAATTGCTCACTCAAGGTTTTACAAATTGGACGAAAAGGGACTTCAATCAGTTCATTAAAGCGAATGAGAAATACGGTCGAGACGATATCGAAAATATCGCGAAAGAAGTGGAGGGGAAAACGCCGGAAGAGGTGATGGAATATTCGGCCGTATTCTGGGAACGTTGCCACGAGCTGCAAGATATCGATAGGGTGATGGCCCAAATCGAGCGTGGCGAAGCGAAGATACAAAGACGAGCTGGCATCAAGAAAGCTTTGGACGCTAAGATGGCAAGATACCGTGCCCCGTTCCACCAATTAAGGATAGCCTACGGTACGAACAAAGGAAAGAATTACACCGAAGAAGAGGATCGTTTCCTAGTTTGCATGTTGCACAAACTCGGTTTCGATAAAGAGAACGTTTACGAAGAACTTCGAGCCACGGTCAGATCAGCGCCGCAATTCCGTTTCGACTGGTTCGTCAAGTCCCGTACGGCTTTGGAATTACAACGACGATGCAATACTTTGATTACCCTGATAGAACGCGAGAATCAAGAGTTGGAAGAGCGGGAGAGACAAGAGAGGAGAAAGAAGGGTGGCAGTATCGGCGCGAAACCTGCGTCCAAACGGAAGCAAGAAAACTTGCCTGCGCCGCAAGATAAACCACGGAAAAAGAAGAAATAAGTATTGGTTCTGCCGGAAGAACTGAAGTTTCTGTTTGTTTCTTCAGACATCACAACCATCGTTTCATTGTTTATTCTCCTTCCGATATTTAACTTCATTCATGTTCAACAAATTCGACGTAACGTCGCGTCGTCCTTCCTCTCATACTTTGTGGCCCGTGTTTTCAGTGTAATTATATTCAACTCGCTTCGCTCTCAAAGGACGATAGTTGAATTCAACGTGCGTGGAAATAAAAATTTATTAATAATGGCGAAAATTTACTTATTCATAAAGGAAACAAATAACAATTAAAAACATATTTTTGAATGTAATATCAAACGATAGCTCTTTTTTTATATATTTATACGTATAGAGTTTTTTTGACTTGTTACTGCAAATACCTGTGCATTCGATTACAACGTAGGCTTCTTTTAGATAAAAGAAAGAAAGAGAAAGAAACACGAAGAAGAAAGAGAAATTTCACGATTTTAGTTTGGAAAAACTTATAAGGAGCTTAGAGTCTTATGTTCCCGTTATGTGTTGGGGTATAACGTTGCTTTCCTTTAGCTGAGAATAAGGTAGGCTTGTTAAATGTTTCTCGAATGATCATCAATGAAACATCATTTATGGGAATCTGATTGTAGTATGGATTTAAATTATGAGATTTGTTAATTTATAATTTTGAAGTTTTAAAAAAAGCGACTAAAAAGGAAAAGTAATGCATAAGTGGTTCCTATGTTCAACGAACGTATTTTAATCTGTCATGGCCGCTTGCTTGCGCATGCGCGTTGCGTGAAAAAGTAGTTGCAAAAGGAATTTGGCGCGCGAAGGCTCCCTACATTTGATGGGTTTTAAAATTGAAAAAAAAGTGTCCCGTCGTTTTAAATTTTTAAGAAGGTTATGAAAAACTTCACGTAAACTTTCCTGTATTCGCATATAAAATGAAAGTGAACAAGGATAGTGATTAAATCCTTTTTTAACATTTCCTCTTAATCGAAGGAAGCCTAAGTTGTTACATGACCGTTCATTGAAGTTAAAGAAATATGACACCAATCGCAATCTATGTAGTTCACACGTGAATGCGTATGTACCTTGATTTCATTCTCTACACCGAGAAACATGTACTGTAATATTACATGAACGATTTTATTTATTTACTAGCATTTTAATGGCATTGTAATTCGTTTTACGAATAAAATATCATGTGCCGCATCAGGTGAAAATCTAATCTGCTTAACTGGTTACACCTCATCAGAAAATCAGCAAAGGGTCGCAGGAGAAACGAAATCATTAACTCTTCGGACAAGGTGAATCTATTTTGTTTATATTCATTTCATATTTATTGGATTTTTTGAATTCGTAGTAATGAACGAGGAAAAATATAAATCGTGACATTTGTTTCGAAGCTGAATCTTAATAAGCAATCATTAATAATATATCGTAATTATACATACATATATATATATTAAATAGCAAATGTATATTGCTTAATTATTTAAAAAAAAAATTGAAATAGTCGCAAAAACAAAACATGCACAAATTACAAATATGACGATGATTACCTACAATAGATTTTACATTTTAAGAGATTTCCACCCCCTTTGTGCAGAGACTCCAAAAAGTTATCACATATACATCGACGTTTTTCTTTTTCTCTAAACGTTAATCCTAAACTAATATTTAAAGTTCCATGAGGATTAATACCTTTTCGTAGTTAATTTTTTGGATATAATTTACATAGTATAAATCGAATTTCAATACTTACATTAACATTTTTATGATAAATTGATAACTGATTAATAAGCTACAGACTGAAAATAATCGAAAGTTACAAATTTTACATGAAAAATTTCATCGATACACTATATTCATATTTTCATTTAAACCATTGATTGCGATATATTTAATATCTATTTCATGGTACACCATTGAAATTTAATAAATAGCAATGATTGTAATGGAAATAGAAACACATTTTTTTCAAGTACATGTAAATACTTGCAATGTTGAAAATAATTTTTTATATTTTATAATTTTTCACGTATATAATTAAAGTTAATGATTATTTATAAGCAGTTAAAATGTATAAACTTATATTGTGGTTTTCTGTTGAAAGTATTTTATGAAACATAGGAAACAATTCTTTCTTTTACGCAAATAAAAATATCCTCCAAAATAAATGACAATTTGTTTCTAATTTTTACATTACATTAATGTTAGTAGAAAAGTAGATTCTCAATGAATTTGACAAAGTAAGATAGAATCATTAATATAATATTTTTGAATCACTTTTTAAGGCCCCGAAGTTAATTAAGATCACCACGGGATACAATAGTCTCATTATTATACTTTATATTTGGTGTTACATGTTATTTCATTTTACCTTCATTCAAATAAATATTTGTTCTTTTTTGAAATAAGTATATTAAAAAAAGAAACGAATTCCAAAACTGGAACAGTATATACAAGAGATGTATTTTCTTTATACTATATTTTTCATTGTTAAGAGCATCAGGTATCTATCTTTATCAATGACATTTATATATATTACCAAATCAGTTGCTATTGGTTATCATATTTAAACAGAATAAATTTTTTTATTTTATCCTTGAATCAATAAAATACCTTCAGAAAAAGTGAATATTTATAATCCTTAATAACAAAGCAAGCCATCAGACGTTTCAAATAATAATGATTATTTATAACAAAACTTATATATGTAAATAGTATTGATGAATCTTAATTCTAATACGATCTTAATTTAACATTCATAAGAAATTACTTAACCGTCATACGTGTAATCAATATTGCTGATTAAAATACACATATGTTACATTACAAGGGGTATACACAAAGTTTGCAAGAAACTAAAGTATTCGTTTTATGATGATTGCTTATCCTACTATTTTTGTTCTTTTTTTTAAGTTTTCCTTCATTTTTTGTTCTTGTTTTGTTTAATATCTAATATATCACTATCTTATTTTATTACATTTGTTTCTGAAAATCATACAGCAATCTTATTCCGTCTGAGGTTAATCGGCAGTAGAATACATTTAGTTTACAACGGATACAATCTGTTCCTTTAATTATTACAATTGTTAAAAATAATATGACTCATTTATAAATTTATATAATTATCTATGGCAAGGACCGGCCCAACTGTAAGTTTGTAAATATACTTATAGATTTTGTTTTCTTTGCCTTTTTCTTTAAATGTACAAATAATAAATGAATCATAAACAATTTTATTAATAGAAAAATTGTACCTTTTAATACAATAATAGTAAATAATAGTGAAAAATTCAATGAAATAAATGACTGAATTATATTAATAATAGACTCAAATAAAATATAAAAATTATATTTTCAATTAGTTACAATTTTCAGTAGTAATTTATAATTGCAGTAATCATCATAATTTGGTGTTTCTATCAATTCATTGTCAAACACGCACTCTAGCGTATATTATTGAGTGTACATCGTTCACCATGTAGATATTTAAAAATTTTAATGATTACATCTGCCTACACTTTAGAGTTTGCAATAATAGCAATAACAATAGTAATACTGGTAAATTATATGGCGCGGTAAGCAACTTTTTTTATCTCGCTTAGATATCTAGTACATGTATATATATATATATATATATGTATATATATATATATAAATTTATGTCTATACTTATATATATATATATATAATCTTTTTTCTTTTTTTACCTACCTAATACGTATACTAAAATTCGTTATTGGAAATCTACAATTTGATAATTTTTTGCAATACCAAAAAATTCAGTATGCACCCAATTCATTACAATTGCAATGATGATACTTCTTTTTACAATTAATATTTTATTGAACTTTTAGTGAATTCTGATTATATTATAGACAATAATTCTTACTATGCATGCTTAAGATAGTTATATTTCTTTATTCGATCAAATAAATGTGCACATAAAAATTCCTAAAATTTTTTGTTATATTTCATTTTATTATATTTTAGTGTTTTTTTTGTGCAAGATCCTCTTGCAGAGATATCATATCACGTATTGTTTTTATCATTCTTAAATGTAATTTCATTACATACATAGTAAGAGAAAGAGTGAGAATTTCACTTAGTTCTGGTGATATTTAACAGAAAAATCAACCCAGTGTTTTTATTATATATAACGTTATAAAACATATAATTCTATCCTATTTAAAGAAATATCAGCACGTGTCATGAACTTAATAATACAAATAATGTAACAATCATTCAGTACTCATTGAAAACATAATGAGACACACAGTATGCTTAATAAATAAAAAGTGCATATTATTTCGATAGCATATTTATATGGTGAAATGCAAATTGAAATTATAATTAATAAAAATATTGAAAAGATTGATCGATACAAACTTTTATATAATAATTATATAAAGTAATATTAGTAAATGTTTAATTAAATCGATTTATTGATAGAAACTTTGGAGGCTAAGTTGTATTCAAAAATATCCCAATATTTGGGAATATGACGGTAATTGTGTACACATTGTAAAGCACATGAAAAGTAATATACTAAATTATAATTATTCCATATAACACAAAATACTATTTGATCCAATAAAAATACTACTCATGATTAAAATGCTCTAAAAAATAAAACAAGTTCATTGAAATCAAGAACACCCAAATAAACGTGTAGACTTCTTGATTTTTTAATTGATTAACAACTAATCAATGTTCTTTATGATTTCTAATAAAATTAATAAAATTACAAGATACCGACATTCTTGGACACCACTTACACTCTATAGCTCCTACCAATAATTAACGCAAGAAACTGGGTCATGATGACCTCGAGATTCTGATTCTAAAATCGAGTTTATAGTAGTCACTTTGTATATTGCATATAAGTTAAATTACAGAAAATGAATGTACTCCGTCATTTATACATTAAAAAATAATAAAATTCTGTAAGTCTTGAACAAATTATATCAAAATAAAATATCTTTTGCAACTGATTTATGATTTTGCTATCATAAAAAGACTGTTCGAAAACATAAATATACGTGTGACAACTATACATTCGATGTAAAAGAAATAAAAACATTCGATCGTAAATTAAATATTATAACAGGTACTTATACTGCAGTGTAATAATAACAGTTAATATTCGCGACTGTTAAAATAAATTTTCGATATCGTCAGCGGTAAACGATACGCTGTATATGCGGTTTAAAATGCTACAAATCTCCTGTCTCGTAATCGCATAAAAATAATATCACGCAATAAAAAAAAAACAAAGAGGACTTCTTAAATCGACAAAAGTGACTGGACGAGATGAATGTATCTAAAAAAAAAAAGAAAAAGGAACAAAATAGATAGTGTTGTGCACATAGAAATTCAACACCCTGTCCTTATATTCCTCTATAAGCAAGATAAGAGAATCTAAGTGAAAGCCTTAATTTGAAATCAGATGCCTCCAAGGGGGTGGATCAGGGGGTGGAGGCAAAGGGACTGGTTACGGTCGAGAATGACCTTTTTTTCTGCCGCCTTCATTGCCATCTTCCTCTTCACCGCCCCTTCTGACTTCAGTATATCGTTCACCTTTTACGCTCACAATCTTGTTATCCAGATAGCGCACTAATTTTTTTGGTTCCGTTTTCGGAGCAACTGGACGATGTTCCCGTGAATCATCATCTCTATCGACGTAACTATACCGTGCAATAATGCGCGATTTCAGTTCTTCGTCATTCACTCTGGTCTTGTTACGACCGTTTGGCTGCCACAATATAATTATGTTATTCATATTGATCAATTCAGAATTATTAATTAACAGATAGCTGATGTTCATGCATTCATAATATGTTTAAATTTGCAAAGTATACATAAATCATATGATCTATGAGATCTGCAGTCTATAGATTACATAAACGTTTGTAGTCTATTAATTAACTCATCACTTTTGTCAACAATATTTTAATTGATGATATTTAACTTTTAAATCTAACATAAAAAATATACATTACTAAACTATAACAAATATTTACATGGAAAAGAATAAATTATTAATATAATTACCGTTAAAAATGTAAGATTACTGACGATACTTTGCCCTGCTTCTTGTCGGTGTAATGCAAGTTGTGCTGCCTTTGCTATATCCCCACTAGCAACTGCCAAACAATGTCTGGCTTCTGCTAGACTCGCAGCAGGGAACATTTCTTGTAATAGTGCTACTTGATGCCAAGAAGATTCCTGCTGTGAAGAATTAATTATTGTATTTACATAAATAAATGATAATCAAAAGAGTAATAAAAGCAACTTACTTCAGAAAAATATTCTCCACTCGAATCACTTCCAGCATCACTTGTTTCTGAGAGGTGATGAACTCTCATTCTTTGTGTACCAGGCGGTAATAAAGCGGTTAAACTAATATGACTCAAAGGATCATGAGGTTGGCAATTCTCATTTTCCTTACTTTCTTGCCGTAATTTACTTTCAATATCCAATAACCATTTGGACACAGCTTCTTTTTCAATGGTAGAAAATTCAGGAAGACAAGCAGAAACCATTTCACATAGTCCATCAACATCTAATTCTTCATCCAGTGCACTTTCTTCTACCATACTCACCACATAGCTTAAAACAATGTCATCAATTAAGCTGAAAAAAATATTTTCATAAGTTGCAACAACAATATACACATATATTTTTGGTACATAATACACGAGAAGCATTTCCTTTCTTTTTTAAATGTTTGTACCTTAATTGGGCAGTGGGTACTTCCTTTCTCACAAAACTAAACAAGGACTTCTTCACTAATTCTTCCTTTTCATCCATTGTACGATTCATTCTAAAATAATTATGTATTAACATAGTTAAAAAAAGTTTATTACTTATACATAACTAATTTAATGTTTATTAATTTCTTGACTTGATTATAGCATTTTCCAAACAATTATTAAGTGACTTTCATAAAATTACTTGAATTATTATAATAGTAAAATTCTTCTTTTACATGTATAAGTATCAAAATTTTTAAATAAAATATAAACTTCGATAAACAGTTTAATATACGTATATAAAGCTATTTCTTTCTCGAAGAATAAATTATGTTTCATGAATTACAATGTTCGAATGAACTTGTCACACCCGCTCAATTTATCGCGTGGAAAATTTTAATGATATCAACATTAAAGTTAATGATTAATGTATACGTTCTATTTTTATTTCAAAACTTTCAATTTTGTAAACTAATTACAGTTCAATAATTAGCATTCTACCTAGGTTAAGAAAAATAAGGCAAAACCGATAACATGGAATCTACGACGAATTTGCATTTAACAAAGAAAATTGTAACCGTGGTTTGGTCATTATATAATGAAAAAAAAAACTAATCTTTTATAACATGTCAAACAGTAAAATATAGATGAAAAGGATAATTAAGAAAAACGCAAAAGGACAGGAAGAAATTGATAGAAAGGTGGTAGCAGCGCCGGTCACTCAGGCTTTAACATCTACGTCCGTCTATGAAGGCGAAGGGATTTGGTGAAAAAACTAATGAACCTATTCAATTACAAAAATGTAGGGAATACAAACCTGATCTTATTCGCTTGTTCAAAATCCCTGGATTGTATTTGAAGCTGAAAACTGATAAAAATTTCGTATACAAACAACGTTCCTCGATTTGACAGTTCGGCAAGGGGAGGGGTAGAGATCTTGTGGCGCCATCACATTGCGCGACCCACTTTGGGATCAAATCAGCAATTCCAATAGTAAAAATTTAATTAATGACTGAATTTGCTCAATAAAAATTCTTACGTTGAATAAAATAATTATCTCTATTTGTAACGAACAACGAACATATTGTTTCTATTAGAATTTTGAAGTACATATATTGCTTATTATAAGTATGGAAATTCGATTTGACAAATGCCAATATCGATCATGGCAACCCTTAAAATTTGTATGGTATGAATTTTAATTAAAACCTTAATTTGTATTTGAATAAATAAATATGACATTATTTATTGATTTGTTGCTGTCGTATTTATAGAAACGTACGGAATTTGCATATTAAATGTTGTTTAAATAAAACGAAAATATTTTGAATGAATTGCCATTATTGAATAGACATTATTACTTTGTAATTGTTTACTGTCTAATAATGTCGAAACTATTGTAGTCAAGTTACTCTTTAATCGAATACTCGAGATAAGATATCTTCCAATAAGGTAAAATCGATATAGTAATCTCAATGTTATGATATTCTAGAGTTGAGCATTAAACTTTGAAATAAAAAGAAAATATTTAGGGATAATAAATAATCTTTTACTTAGACAGAAATTTTTTGAAGATTTCTGTATAAAATTGTTATTTCAAAAGTAACGAATATTAATATTATTTATTATGATAATTATAACAACACAATTTAATTTGCTATATACTGCTATAGCAATTTATTTATAAGACATAATTTCACATGTTACAATGTACATATACTTTCCAGTCATATATGAATTTTTTACAATAAACGTAATTTCGTAACTGTCCTCGTTTTAATATGTATCATATACTTAGAATGCTTATATGCAAGCATAATTTAAAACATATAACTAATTCGTTCGAAATTAATTAAAAATTACGATAATCTAGGAACCTAAAACAGGAGTTATAAGACAACATAAAATAGAGTAATGAATTATCATTCTATAATCTTACCTAACAATAATGAATTTTTATGACTACATGTAAATGCATCGATTTTCCATTGATTTAGTAGCAAAATTAAATATCTTCCTAAATCATACAATATACAATTATTCAAATCGATGTAACCGAAATAAACAATATTTCAATACAACGCAAATTGTAATACAATTATAAAACTTGTTCTATGATCTCAATGAGTGCAACTAAGCCTTTTTTGTTGTTTATAAATATTTAATTAAAGCAGGAAAGATCTACTTTCTTTAGCAATAATTGAAGATTAATTAATCAACGCCTAACTGACCATCGAAATCGTTATTTAAATTACAATTTTATGGAGATATAAAAGCGTGGATTAATTTTTACACAAATAAATTATGACTATACTTAAAGACAATTAACGGTCATGTACAGTACTCAGTTCCTAGGAGTTACACAATAAAACTGGTTATAGGTACTTTTATAAATATGTACAATTGATCAATTATTTTCATTCGAATCGTACTTTCCAGCGTAATCGATAGTATAGAAATATCAGTTTTGAACAGTGAACTCGCAGAAAACGCTCGAAAGATACATTTATGTATAGCTGCTATAATTCATATAGCAAGTGGTAAAAATAGTTTTACTTTTTCAATCGCATACATTCTTCTATTTACAACATTAATGAAATATTCTTTCATATTCCTCTAAGAACAAACGGCAGAGTTTTAATACATATCTTTGTTCAATGCTTTGATCAATCAGAAATGAAGCTAAAAGCTTATTGTAATAATAGATTACATAAAACGATATCACAAAAGTAATATTATATGTATATGTATGTATTATACACTGGTTTCTTTTATACGTGTTTAAAAGATAATCGTTAAAATCAATCTCAGAACAAAAGTTTATAAGGTACTTTGATAGCAATAAGATTACCCTAAGAACTTTTTAAAAAACTAAAAGCGTAGATCTCGTACTCTTTATCATTTTTTCGTTAAACAACCCAATCACTGAATTTATCCAACATCTTACTAAACAGGTTTCTTCTCTTTTGAACATTGTTCTTTTTCAAGCCCGCTTTCTTCACCGTCTTCAAGCTCGATCGAACTATAATCTCTAGATTCTTCTTTGTTATCCTTATTAGAGGCCGTTTCCGTTTCTTCAACTATATCTTGTTCTTGTTCTAAAAAGTCTGTAGGTACAAATTCCATTTGGTCCTCGCTGTCGTTTATATCTGGCGGTTCAGGTATCTCGCAGAAATTAATCTCTCTTTCGCCATCCGTGACTTCATTGCCACCTGGATCATCTTCTTCATGCAAACTCATAAGCTTTTCGAAGTTCGATGGTGTTGAACTGTCCTCGTTATTCTCTGGAAACATTTCGGTTGGACTAAGAGGTATATCTAAAGGTTCCATTTTTACTGTAGTACTGGGTGATGTGGGTGTAATGGGTCGTTGTAAGCGTATTTTGGTGAATGGTTTTGGTTCGGCGGGCTCTGGGTGTTGTCGCTTTTGTGCACGTTTTGGACTAGAAGGCGCGGAAACGCCGGAAGCAGAAGCTTTCTCTTTGGTCTCTGATGAGGCTCGAGGAACTGGTTGAGATACGACTGGCTTCGATTGCGGTATAAGTAACGGTGGCTTTGGATTCTGTAACAATCACGTATTTTATTAAATCAAATAACAAATAAGTATCTTTCTTTTCCTTATAGTTATGTTTTTCTTGTTTAATTATTTTTGCAATATTCTTTTACTTTTTATTAAAATTTCTTAAAATACTAATCAGTTTTCACACAAAGACAATTTACCTGAGAAGAAGGATTTGGTCCAGCTAATCCTTTTACTTGCAATGCTTCAGCTGCATTTAATAGTTGTGGCAGTTTATCATGGGCAACATTAACTTCACCACGATACATAAACTTGACTAGTGCTTCAATTTCCCAAAATTTCAAGTCTTTCATTAAAATGATTGGATGCTGACATGGATTTTCACGTAACAAATCTGCCAGATAGTCACTGCACGATGACAGTATCATTTTATGACACTTCAATGAACGGCCTTCACAGGCCAAAGTAACATCAACAAACTGTTCAGAGTCTAATAAAGATGGGAAACTATTTTGCATGTTACTATGATAACTGTTCCATCTTAAACAAACCTGAAACGCATAAAGAAAATATGATTAAAGTTGCAGATAAATATAACTATGTATAATTTTGTTTTATTTAATGGGTCAATACCTCCGTAGGTTGCTGATGCACAATATTATGAGGTAATCCTTGAGTGGTTTGTCTTGGTGGCATTTTAATGGTTGTAGGGGCAACTTGTTTTACTTTCAAGGGTATTGTTTTTAACACAAGAGTCTTTGGTTGTCGTTGCTGTTGTTGTTGTTGTTGCTGCTGTATAGGTGCTGGTGCAATGTTCCTAAGATGAGGTCTTACCAATGACTGTGCCGCTATTCTTATAGTTTTACTGGTTGTACTGGATTGAGATGGTGATTGTAACACTAGAAAGAAAAGAATCTTCCATCACCTATGATGCAAATAGAATACATTCCAAATGTACTAGGAAAAAGGACATTTCTCTATGTTAATGATTCTCCAGAAAATATTAACAAGGCGTCTCAACGATGCAAATAATCGGGCAGACTTTGTTTGATATTTCAGAAACAAAATGTAAGTACATCGGATACAAATTACAATATTTTATACATTGCGTACAAATTTTATTCTCATGGACTTCTATTTAAACTCATATACAGAAACTACAGCATGTATCAACAAGTCCAAAACGATTGTAACTATTGTTACACAATGTCACTTTCCCCAATGAAAATCACCATTGAGAACCAACTATCATTACCGTGATAGCGACTGCCAATGAGTCTGCCACCGTGATGCACCCTAAGATGTCGATGAAGGTTCGTGGTGCCACACTGTCGAGGATTTGCACCGCCCCTGACCACAACCGCTCCACAAATACGGCACTGTGCACGCAGCGGATCGTTCGCGCACAAGTCAAAATGTGCCCAAACCGCACTGGGGTTGGTCATAGCACGAAGACTACGTGCATGTGAACGAACACGGTGCGTGGCTACCGTATGACGGTTACCCGACGAAGGCGGCGATGGAGAAGGTGGTATCTCGCCTGCCTCGAGGTAACAGTCTTCCTCATCCTCCGGTTCCTGTTTCATGGCTATGTCCTCAAGACTGATACCCTCCACGATGTCCTCGTTAGAAGACGTGGTGACGGTTTCTCGATCTCCGTCGAGTTGCTCCTGGAGGAGACGGCGGGCAGTCAGCTTCACGGTGTCCTTACAGGCCACCAG